GGGAAGCCTGCTTCTCCCTCTCCCACTCCCCCTGCTTGTGTTCCCTCTCTTGCTGTGTCTCTCTCTGTCAAATAAATAAAATCTTAAAAAATAAATAAAAATAAAAAAGCATCTAATGATTATCTGAATGTAATAGACACTCAGGATAAGAATCTCACTTCCCATTTGAAAACTGATTTTTTTAATTTCAAATATGGGTACATTTTGAAAATTAAACTTTATAGGAAGTATTTTCACTGTAAAAGATGAAAAGCGGTACAGGCCAATTTTTTTTCCTTTTGCCCCTCATTTAGCTCCCTTTCAACACCCTCCCTCCCTCCCTCCCACTCTTTCTCTCATATTCAGGCTCAACTGGTAAAAGCATTTTTCTCATGCTAGAGATTTGGATAAGGCAGCATCTCATTTTTTTAAATAATGAAAACCATGATTTTAGAGTCATGCTAACTTCTTTAATCATTTTGCTAAATTACTGTTCAAATAGTTTGTTCAGTGATATGGCTTACCTATCTCTGTTTGTAAGGAGATTGGTGCAAACCAGCTTTTTTTTTTTTCTTCTTCTAAAGCTTTATTGAGTTATCATATACCATACAATTCACCCATTTAAAGTGTATAATTCAGGGGTGCCTGGGTGGCTCAGTCGGTTAAGCGTCTGACTTTTGATCTCAGTTCAGGTCTTGAGCTCATGTTGGCGGTGAGGGGGAAGGCTCAGCGTGGAGCCTACTTAAAAAAAAAAGTGAAGTGTACAATTCAGTGTTTTTTAGTTTGTTCACAGCAATGCAACCAATACCACAATCACTTTTAGAACACTTTTATCATCCTTAAAAGAAACCCTGTACCCATTAGCAATTACCCCCTTCCCAGCCTTTGGCACCACTAATCCACTTTCTGTCTCTGAATATATGCTTGTTATAGACATTTCATAGACATGGAATCATACAATATGTGGTCTTTTGTGACTGGTTTCTTCCATTCAACATAGGTTGAAACAAGGTTCATCCATTTGGTAGCATCTATCAGTACTTCATTGCTTTTTATAGCTGAATAACATTCCATTGTATGGGTTTACCACATTTTGTTTGTTTATCCACACATCAGTTGATGAACATTTGAGTTCTTTCCACTTTTTGGCATTTATAAATAAGCTGCAATGGAAAGTCATGTACAGGTTTTTGTGTGGATGTATGTTTTATTTCTGTTGTGTGTATACCTAGTAGTGGAAGTCGTGGGTCATATGGTAACTCGATGTTTAACCTTTTGAGGAATGGCCAGACTGTTTCTAAAGTAGCTGTGCCATTTTACATTCCCACCAGCTGTGTATTAGTATATAAGGATTCCAGTTTCTCCATATGCTCACCAGAGTACGGTTATTCTCTGGGGACCAGCTTTTGTGTTTTGTTTTTAATGATAGGAATCTGGAAAGCAGTGTGGAAGATTATCAAAAGTGAGACTACCTACTATGTATTAGATGATAGGGTGAGCACTCTGCATTTCATTTTCTGATCTTTGTCATAAGCTTGCAAGGTCAGTGGTACTATGACTATTTTTTAACAGATGAACAAGCTGAAAAGAGAGGATAATTTTCCCTAAGCAACAACTAATATATTTTGAAGTTAAAATTTTTTTTTTTAAAGATTTTATTTATTTATTTGAGACAGAGAGAATGAGAGAGACAGAGAGCACATGAGAGGGGGGATGGTCAGAGGGAGAAGCAGGCTCCCTGCTGAGCAGGGAGCCCGATGCGGGACTCGATCCCAGGAGTCCGGGATCATGATCTGAGCCGAAGGCAGTTGCTTAACCAACTGAGCCACCCAGGCGCCCCTTGAAGTTAAAATTTGAACTCAGATCTGTCTGGCCCCCGAAACCTATATTCTTTCCACACTCTTATCTGGCCATGGGGCTTAAGAGGAATAGACTGAGTCTGAGGCAGATTGTCAGAATTTGGTGAACAGTGAGATATAGGGAGGAGAGAGAAATGGAACATTTCAAGGTGATGATCAAGTTTAGAGACTGAGTGGAAAGTGATGGAACTACAATTCAGACAAAGAATACTTTTCTTTCCCTCTTCCCCTCTTCCTGCCTAATTGTCAGGAAAGACAATGATTTCTTTTTGAACATTTTAAAACTGACATTATTTTTAAGTCATTGAGATAGAGTTGTTTGGTTGGCAGGTGGAAATTTGTGCATTGTCATCTTGGAAGTTTAAAAGGGCATCCTGGTGGCATTGTCCCAGTTCGGGGACTACATAGTATAGTGGAAAGTGGACAGGTGTTCTCAGACCTCGGTTTGAATCCCAGGTCTGTAACACTTACTAACAGTAGCAAGTGGGGCAAGTTGCTTAACCTCCCTGAGCTTGTTTCCCCATCAATAAATCTTGATTGAATTGCTTAAAGATTGAGATAACCTGGTTATATATCCTGACATATAGCAGGCATGGAATAAATGTTGGTTTCTTCTCCAGGAGAAGTGTGTAGAGTGAAGATAAAAAGGACAAGCACAGAGTCCTGGGGAAGTCTAGTGTAAAGAAATGGGCAAAAGAACCAAGACTTATTAAAATACACGGGTGGGAAAGGTCACAGAACTGAAGTATAACTTGGAGGAAGTGATGCTGTGAAATCAAACATACAGAGTTTCAGGAAGAGTCAGTCACTGGTATCAAATTCCATGATGTGATCAGGCAGTGGTCCTTTATTTGTGGCTTTTAGGAGACTTTTGCAACCTGGAGGAGAGCTGTTTGGGATGGGAACCAGATTTTAAAGGGTTGAGCAATAAACTCAAGAAATTGGTGTGTAAAAGAAAAGTAATAGGTAGAATAAAGGGGAGGTAGGAATAAGGATCTTGTTTGTTTTGTTTTGCTTTGATTTTTTTTTTAAAGATTTTATTTATTTATTTGACAGAGGCACAGCGAGAGAGGGAACACAAGCAGGGGGAGTGGGAGAGGGAGAAGCAGACTTCCCGCTGAGCAGGGAGCCGTTGTGGGGCTCCATCCCAGGACCCTGGGATCATGACCTGAGCCAAAGGCAGACACTCAACAACCGAGCCACCCAGGCGCTCCCTGCTTTGCTTTTTTTAAAAAAAGGTGGTGTAGAACTGAATGTTCATTCTTCCATTTCACAGTTGTGCTATGGCCTGAGGTTACAGAGATGGGCTGGTTTATAACCTGAGGGAAGGAGGGAGGGGAGAGAGAGGAGGAAGTGCAGATATGGAGATGACATGGGATGACCAAGGAAGTAAGAACCTAGAAAGGTGGGAAGTGATTGACCCCTCTTCAAGTTCTCCTTGGTGTGGAGGAAAGAATTTCTTTTCTGAGAGAGGAAAGCAGTGTCTTTACGGGTGAGTGTAATGGTGGAGTAAGGGAAAGGAGGGTGGTTTTTGACTGAAGGTCTTTATTTTCTCAGTGAAGAGAGAGGCTAAGTTACTGACTGAGAGTGGTGGCGGTGGGTCAATTAGGATTAGACTAGGGGATTTAGGATTGTACTGAAATTTGGACCTGAAGAGTAGAAAAGGACAAATAAAAGTTTATTGATCATTGTGACAAAATGCTAATTTTTCTGGTAAACACCTGAAATTCAGTTCATCTTAGAATTTTGTGCTCTTTGAGAGTGATGCTGGGTAACTTTGCGCAATCATTATTTATTCTTAGATCCTAGAGAATGTCTAGAAGAGGATAGCATAATTCTTTTTTTCCCCTTCTTGATCAAGTTTCTTGATAAGTTTTCTTTATTTCTTTGTTGTTATCGTTGATGTTTTCTCCCTGGTTAGTTTACTTATTTAACTCTAGATATGAAATTGATGTTCAGAGATGTATGCTTGATTTTTAAGTTATTTTAGCCACGTATGTTTAAAAGTACAAATTTACATATTGTTGCTGAGAATATTGTTTATGTACATGATAGCTGAACTGTGAAAAAAATAAAAGAAACATTTTTAGTGATGAATGTAGGATTCTCGAGTTTTAATTCAGTAGCTTGTATCTGATTTAGCTTTCAGATGATTCTTTTGAGATTTCAAATAAAACACCTAGACAACCTAAAAGAGAAGTGAAAAAGAAAGATGCAGTGCCATGGTGGATAACTGAAGATGATTTTGAAGATGGTGGTAAATACTGCTGATTTTTTTATTCCAAATTATTTGACCACAAGGTGTCAGTCAAGACTTTTAATTTTGGGGTTTTGTTGTTGGACTATACATATATAAAGAAAATAATACTAGTAGCGTGACTTTTTGAAGCTTGAATTTTCATATTCACTTTATTATATATTTATTATGTAATTGAGAATCTATGATGTTTCTGCATTATCAGGTTATATTACATTGGGATAATTTTATATTTACTCAAGTTAAGATGATGAATAATACATGTATATTTCTACATTGTCATGTATAATGGTAAATTGATTTAAGGTGATTTAATAAATATTCTGACAATGTATTAATGCCATTACATTGGGAATATTTTAACAAATTTTTAGATTTTTGGTATCACAGTCTGTTAATAACAGTAGTAAAAAAAGTAATTTATTGCCTTAATGGTAAAGAACTCATTAATGATCCTGCCTGACATATGTGTATACCTTTCCCCAAACTGTTCTTAGTCACCTCTTCACAAATGGAAAAGTACTCTCTGGAGTATTTGCTTTGGTATACCTGCTGTATATGATACTGCCGTATCCGTAAGGAACCCCAGACTACTTCTCTTTTGTACTATGTTTGTACTATTTATGGATCATTAAGCAGCATTTTATAAACTTAGAGGATTTTTCTATCCTAGGAGAGAAATTTGCCCCATAGCTTTTGTTTTTCCCCATGAAAATAAGCCCAGATTCCTTAATGTGGCCACTAAGGCTCTGCATCATCTGAAGAGGACCCTCCTTTCTAGTTTCCTGTACCCCAGCCATACTCAGTTATTCCCTGTCTCCTGGAAACATCATTGACTCTGTGCCTCTGTGCATTAGCTCATGCTTTCTCACCACTAGAATGCCTTTTCTCATCTTTCTTTCCTAACTCTTCCAGCTCCCTTTCCAGCATAATTATTTTCTTCTTTGTTTTGATTTCAAAACACCACAGTAGCTCTTAGACATTGTGCTGATAGTCATTACCTGTAGGGCTATGCCTGAGGTTGGGAGCTTTGTGAGAGCAGGAAACACTTCTTTTTGTTTGTATCCCCTGATCCCAACAGTAAATAAATAATAAATGTATTTAATAAATGAATGTTAGAGTAAATTTGATAGTCATTTCTCTGTTCTTAAAACTAAAATAAGGAAGTGCCTTATTGAAAAATTCAGTGCATTTTTTCATAAATCCCCCAACCACATAACAATGCTAAAGTTTGCATGCAAAGAATTCTTTTTTAGAATCTTTTCCCTGTTGGTGCTTGAAAAGAATATTACATGATGAAGTACCATTGGAATTGTTCACAAAGGTTTGAGACTTAATTAGCATTAAAGTCTCTTTCTAGAAAGTAATGAATCAGAGATAGAATGTGCATACTCATCCCAAAGGGAAAGCCTAGGTCCTGGACCAACACTTGAATGTAACCTGACTAAAGATATTAATTTTTAAGAAAGAATTTGTCAATCAGAATGGATTTGATTAGTAAAAGATTCAAAGAAGGATATTTAAGAAGTAAACTTTGACGATATCCATTTAAATACTGAGGAGAGGGTTTCTCCACGCAAGAACATAACCTGGTCCCTGGTTCAATCACAAACATTTCTGAGTTCATGTTATGTTGGGCATACTAGGCACTAGTATACAGACAATAGGATTCCTGCCATCAAGAGTGTAGAAGCTTCTGAGGGGGAAGTAAACACCCTCTTGAGAGGAATGCATTACCAATCTTAGACACCTTTTTTTTTTTTTTTAAGATTTTTTTGTTTTTTGACAGAGAGAGAGACAGCGAGAGAGGGAACACAAGCAGGGGGAGTGGGAGAGGAAGAAGCAGGCTTCCCACTGAGCAGGGAGCCCAATGCGGGGCTGGATCCCAGGACCCCGGGATCATGACCTGAGCCAAAGTCAGATGCTTAACGACTGAGCCACCCAGGCGCCCCAATCTTAGACATCATTAAACATCGACATTGAGCTACTTCAACCTTATAATTTTCTCTTTCAATTGCCATAAGGATGAAATGTTCTGCCTAGAGGATGAAACAATCTAATCCTTCTACTGGTCATACTCTTCATTATGAATAACTAAATTGGATATTGGTTTTGGTCATTAGTCTCTTGTAAGCTCAGTTAGTATGGGTCACATCCCTGAGTCCAGCTTCAGAGCCAAGGTGAGACTCACATAGGCACCACAACAGTACCCCAACCATGGCATACCCTTTTTCTTTTGAAGTGTCTATAGATAACGTCTCTTGATTTTCTGCAACCATGGAAGTTATTATTTGATCTATAAAACCATTATTCACCCAAAGCCATAAAAATAGATCGGAATCCTTTCCAGGAGTATACTAATTAGGAAACTGAAGTCAGAACTTGACTTTTTTTTTTAATTTAAGTTAAATTAGCCAACATATATTGCATCATTAGTTTTTGGTGTAGTGTTCAATGATTCATTAGTTGTGTATAACGTGCAGTGCTCATCACATCATGTGCCCTCTTTAACGCCCATCACCCAGTTACCCCATCCCCCCACCCACCTCCCTTTCCACAACCCTCAGTTTGTTTCCCAGAGTCAAGAGTCTCTCATGGTTTGGCTCCCTCTCTGATTTCTTCCCATTCAGTTTTCCCTCCTTTCCCCTATGATCCTCTGCACTATTTCTTATATTCCACATATGAGTGAAACTATATGATGATTATCATTCTCTGATTGACTTATTTCTCTGAACCCTCCAGTTCAGAATTTGTGACTTTTTTTTTTATTAACATATAATGTATTATTTGTTTCAGGGGTACAGGTCTGTGATTCATCAGTCTTACACAATTCACAGCACTCACCATAGCACACGCCCTCCCCAGTGTCCATCACCCAGCCGCCCCATCCCTCCCACCCTCCTCCACTCCAGCAGCCTCACTTTGTTTCCTGAGATTAGAAGTCTCTTATGGTTTGTCTCCCTCTCTGGTTTTGTCTTGTTTCCAGAATTTTTGACTTCTTAATAAGACTTCCTTCTAAGCAAAATGATGTTCTTCTAATCTTAATATATACACAATGTAATTAACTTCTCCGTTTTTCACTTTTTTATAACAAATATATGCTATTATGACAAATTTTGAATATTGCATAGCATTTTCAGTGTTTTCTAGTGTTTTTGGCATAAAGAGAAAAATGCTATCCATGGCTATGAGTACTGGCCTGGTCTGACCATTGACTCCTGCTCTGGGCTCATTTCCACCTGGACTCACCCTCACTCTCTAGATTCAACCTCACTGGTCTTTTTGCGTCCTCCAGTGTTGCCTGCCCTCCCATTGCTGACCCTTTGTACCTTGTCTCCACCCTACCTGGAGTTGTCTCCCTTTTCTAGTTCACCTATTCTTCCTTCATATAAGGCAGAAGATACTCTTTAAAGTGGCATGGTATACTGTATTAAATAATTGTGCTTCAAAGTAATTTTTAAAATTTTGTCTCATGTAAACTTTTGAGATTATTTAATAAAATACAATGCAAATAAATAGTGTTATAATTTTTCTTTTGTGAATTTTAGGTCTGATGGATTCTTATTTAATAGACCAGATTTATTTTGTAGCTACTGTCTACAAAATTAGCATAACGGAAAAAAAGTTAGTATAACAGTATTACTGGTTAATACATAGTGGTCAAAACAGTTTTCTGAACATAAATATCCAGCTATATCTTAAATCCCATTCCTAGGACTGCTTGGAACAAATGTAAGCTATCTGAAAGCAAAGAGGCCTTCTCAGCCTATTACGGAAATACAAGAGGAGTCTGCTGAAAGGATTCAGTTTCTTCAGAGCAGTGGAACCTCTATCTTAAGTATTGACAGCTTAGAAACAAATGGTAAGAAACGTGAGGGATACAAGTTGACAGATTAATTACTATGCTTAATTAAATTAAATACTATAATTATACTATACTCAATTAAAATTTTTACAAAAACTAACCTGTATCTTGGAGCCTCCTTTACTGAAGCATGTAGACATTCTTAATACCTTCCTTAGAAGGTTTAGAATTAGATCTTGAGGGAAGCCTTATAACCGTACATACTGATTATGAATACAAGTCTATATGTAGTGGGTGAGAGATGCATGTTTTAAATTTTTTAAATTTTACTAATATCAATAAATGCATCATTCAAATTAATTTTATCAAAATTCAAAATTCTGCATATTAATAAAGTATATTTGTCCTTTTCATTTAGAGATAGTAGTTTCTGAACTCAATCATAGTGTTCTTGGATTGGGATTGGACACATTAGAAGAACAAGAAGAAAAAGAGCAATTTTTTGCCAGGCTTGAGGAAGGCTTAACATCTTCCATTGATTATTCAAGATTAAATAAGGAACTGGATTCTAATGACTCCACACAATTTAAAGGTTTACATAGGTAATGTATGTACAATATCAACTAATCATTAAATGGGTTCTGTATTTTTCTATATATTTTTTTTTAATTTATTTATTAGAGAGAGAGATAGAGCAGGAACACAGGAAGCGGGAGTGGAGAGGGAGAAGCATGCTTCCCGAGGAGCAGGGAGCCTGATGCAGGGCTCAATCCCAGGACCCTGGGACCATAACCTGAGCCGAAGGCAGACGCTTAATGACTGAGCCACCCAGGCGTCCCTTATTTTTATCTCTTTTCTATGTTCATTATTTCGATCCTGGTTTCCCTAATATATGAATGGAATATGTTGATTTGGGTTTAAGAGCTCACTCTGCATCCAGGTATATGAAATGTCATGCGTGCGATGCTACTGAGACTAATGGCACACTGCAAAAAGACCTTACTAGGAAAGTAGCTTCTTAAGTGATTTTCCACAGATGAAGTAAATAAGAGAGTTCAGGTAGCTGTCATAAACTCAGAGAAAAAAATAAAAGAAAGGGTGAACCAGGGAGTCAAGACAGGTTTTGTCTCTGTCCTCCCTTTGTATATGGTTGACCCTGATGATTATCAGGAAACCTCACTTATCCTGAAAATCCTACTAGTTGACTGAGCTGGCCTTCTGTAAGTACAGTAGACCTTTGACCTTTTAAAATTATAAATTATAAATGGAGGGACACCTGGGTGGCTCAGTCGTTAAGCGGCTGCCTTCAGCTCAGGTCATGATCCCAGCGTCCTGGGATCGACTCCCACATCGGGCTCCCTGCTCAGTGGGGAGTCTGCTTCTCCCTCTCCCTTTGCCCACCTGTTTGCTTACTTGTGATCTCTCTCTCTCTCTCTCTGTGTCAAATAAATAAAATCTTAAAAAAATAAAAATAAAAAAAATAAAATTATAAATGGAAGCCAGATTACAACTTCAAGATTTTAAGAACACCAAACTATAATTAAGGGTGAGGAGAATCATTACCTCTTGTTATTAGAGTACCTGGTCTCCTTAGGATGCTTAGTTTCTTACAGACCATGGATAAAGCAGTGTAGTGACTTTCATGAATTTTATAGAGTTTGAGATTTTTACCCTGCTTGTAAGCTAACAAGTTACCCTGCCAGTTTTATGGATGCAGATAGTAGACACAAGATTCCTGGGTCAGAAACAAAGGACTTTATTTCTCACAATAAAAGCCATATCTGAGTCTCATGTTTATTTGCCTCAGTTCCCCCATGCTCCACAAAACTTGTGGAGGCAACATGGAGGGTCCATGATGGCTGTCTGCATGGGCAGTGGGTTGCTTTATAGGAGAGGAGCACTGAGCTTGGGGAATCCATTGCTTTTATAGTAAGAGGAAATAAGCCTGCTTCTTTTCTGGAAGGAGATACTGTCTCATCTCTCAAGGTTGCTCTCTGCAAACACAATCTTGGGAAATAACCTAGGAGAGAGAGGTTTGTGCCTTGCATTCTTGGCATACCCCACAAGAACATGCAGGGACACTCAGGGCCCTTGGTGATTGCCTGTCCCAATAGTAACAACACAGATTAAGTATACACAAGTTGGCTACAAGTTTTGGCCCCTTTGTAATATTTCTTAACTTTTTAAATTTCTTTTTTTTTTT